CTTCTTCTTTTAACCGAATAAGATTTTGGAGGATAATCCTTAATTAAAAAGCAATGTGATTAACCAATTGAAAAGCATTATATAGGCACAAACAACAGCCAAAACATGATAAAATAAGTAACAAGTCTCGGTGGATTGTCATTATTGCCCCACTGCAAGCAGCGTTTTTCGATCAAGCTTCTCATGAACAGAGGTAGTTTTTCAGCTAAGTATTGGCAGGTTAGTTTTAAATATATTTAACCCTCTTTTTTTAGTAAGAATAAATTCAAAGAACAAATTTCAATATCTTTTTTCCTGTGTGCCTCAACTCTGTTTTTTTTTTTCTTTTTATACATGATTATCCTTGCAAAAACATGTCAGCCAACAAATCATTTAGGTGGCAAAAGTAGCTTTGCCTCATCTCGCTTTATACTTTGTTATCTTCATTTATTTGCTCATCGGTGCATGGATGTTCACCAAGTTAGACACTAATGTTTACTTAAATTTGTCCCTTTCCAGAGTATAGATTTTTAAAATTAAAAGTTAATAATTGTTCAGACTTTTCTCCTTGCCTTCTCTTTTTTTATAGAAAAAACTTGTTTTAACTTGGTCAACACAATTGACACCTGTTTAGGATTGAAGATAAGGTAGACCGAGAGCTACAGAAAATTAAATTAGGGAAAGTGCTGGACATTTACAGAACGGCAGCAGCAGTTTTGTCAGAACGTTGCCCAAGTTCCGTAAGCCAAACCGATTTTGTTCAACATCTCTACGGTTCATTGTCAAAGTTAAACTGTTCTTTTTATTTCTAGTTTTCTTTTTTTTCCTTCATAGTTCTAGAATTAAAAGACGGTAATACAAGAAGTTTTCTTTTTGCATTTTAAATAAGTGCTTTGCTACAGACGTTCTTTTGATAGTCACTCTTTCAAAACCTTCATTAAACCAATCCAAAAATTTTTTCCTTCTGACTAGTAGAACCTAAATTATCCCATTTAAAGTTGACCTTGATTCTAAAACTTTTTTTTTTTGTTGAATTAACTAATTTTACAGTTATTTTTATCTTTTTTTACTGGTCCAGAAAAGCAAAAGATGATATAGACATTTTTGATTTATTTCTCTTATATTAAGAAAGAAAGAGGACCAGTGATGAATAAAAGACTGCTTTTTTTTTACTGTTGCAAAACAATCATTTGATATAATCAAATAATAGTTTAGCGTTTTCTCTTGGATACTACAATGGATGCTAAGTTTAGGAACCGCAAATTTAACAGTTTTTTGCCTCTTTATGCATGTTTTAAGTGAAAAGTTCTTTGTAAGTATATGTTCTTGTTTTTCTTTATACTTTAAACTTGACTGTTCTTTTTTTTTTGCTTTATTTTATCCAAAGAAAAAAGATTATTTGGGAGTACTGATGGGTAGTGGGGAAACGTTAAGTGTAACAAAAATTTACTGCGACAACCTCCACCAGCTAAATACACTAGAATTTTCAAGAAAGTGATCATGAAGATCAAAATATATGATTTGACTAGCTAAATTCCTCCTAATTCATGAACTAAATTTTATTGGATACTTTTAAGGCTTTCATCATTAATGGTCGGTTATGATTTTAACGTGACACCAGCTACCAGTGTATTACAAGAAGACTTGCTTCGCCCTCGATGGAATCAGATGGCCTCTATTTTGTATCCACTTTCCATTTTGGTAGATATTGTTTTATATCTTATGGTAACTTTAATTACTCGCTATTTTGGTCGTCATTACAACTGTGGTCGTTTACAAAGAAAAAAAATGCAAAGGGACTTAATGCTGTTAATAGCCGATAGATTGTTTAATTTGGTGAACGGTAAAGTTGGGAGATTCGTTCAAATTACAACTAGTTTTCAGCTGTTTAGCCTCATTTTTTCCACACATCTCATCTTCCTCTCAAAACTGTTATTGCACACAAAGCGACTATGGGTTTTTTTGTTCTAAGAAACAAGAAACTATTTGAAAATGTCTATTATTACTGTTTATAAGCAATTACAGACAACTACCGGATACACATCTGCTTGCCCGGTGTCATTCTGGGGACAGTTTATGACAATAGTTTATGGACTTTTTGGCATTCCACTAATGTTTTTTGCTGCCGTTGATATTGGCGGGTTCTTGTCTGATATCGTTTTATTGGCATACAGAAAGGTTTGGTGATTGCGGCTTTTTTCTGGCAACCATCAAATGCAACAGATTCTTATCTTCATTTTATGTTATTGTTTCTTAGCATTTGGATCTACCAGATAAGATCCAACTTTTGCTATTTTAGAGGAGAGGCTTACTGGAGTTAAAAACATGAGCATTTTTTTGTGTGAGAGTTCATCTATTGTATTTTAAGAACTAAGCAAATAGATGGGAGGAGTTTTATTGTCTTCTCTATATAATTTATTTCTTTCCTTTTGCGAGACAGAAACTGAGACTTGTAACTCACGGTAAAGCTCGGAAAATCACTTGCGGTTTTACTGTAATCAGTTGCGAATTGAAAGGTGATGTGACATTTGCAGTTGTAGATTAAAAGATATGATATTTAACGACAGACATTTCACAGTAGGTTTTCCAAAGAAATCTTGTTTATTTCTTTGACAATATTTACTTGATTTCAGTACCTAAGAATCAAAAGTGTTTTGCGTAACTGCGGAGTGCATACCCGGCGAATATGCGAACTAGTAACATCAATTCCGCTACGACAAAACGCAGTCGTCATTAAAATGTTGGTAATAATAATTCTGGATTCAGTAAACATTCTTTTTTGAGTCTTTAAAGCAAATTTAAGTGTAACTGACGGAGTTTGAGTTGTATCAAATCAGAAGTATGATATGATTTGATCGTTTATCACAGTTTTTTCTGTTGAATGAGGTAACATTTGTTGTCAGCCGCTGTTGAAAAGGTCTATTACATGCCTGTAGAGATTTTTGAACTTCAGTTAGGCAGATATCGGTCGTTGTACGTTATTTAACAGTAATATCAGGTCTTTTCCGGTCAATTAACCAATTAGCTTAGAGATTTAAATAAACGAAGTGAAGACAGTAACACCAGCAAACCTGATCAAGAAAAAGATGTAGCTGGATTACCGTTGTTCGTTTGCGCCTCAATACTTCTGGTTTTCTGTATGTCCGGAGGACTGCTTTACAGAGCTGCAGGTATCTGCTATACCAATAAACATAAGGCTAATAATGATTTATTTTAACTGCTTTAAGTATTGAAGAAATCTGACAACAATGTATGAAAAAGCTTATCGCTTTAAAGGTCTACAGCAGTATTATTTTTTAATGGGGAATTCTAAGAATAATCAGTACAGTATTTACGGTTGCATCACAATCAGTCACAACGGTTTCAAAACGAATCATTCATTGGAACACTTAAATTATAATGGAACCGTTCTTTTTAGTGATTTGTTGATTTCAGGTGGACAACGGACGTTTATTGAAGCATTTTTTGTGACTTTCAATTTAGTTGCAAATTTAACGATGGCGGAAATGCCGAATGATCTTAGCAGTTCATTAACACTGGTCTATATATTAATCTTCGTTATATTTGGTATGATCTTTTTCAGTTCTTCTTTTCAGCACTATATAATAATATATAATATATAGCGCACAATATATAATGCGCAGTATACAAGGCATAATACACACAATATATATATTATGTATAACATGTATAGTACGAGCTATTGAAAACCGCAAATCTGAAAAGTGATTAAGGCTTGGCGGTTATTTCGATGTGTGGAAGTTTGGCCGCAGCATCACTGAAATCTCTATTTTTGAAAATACACTACTGTGGCATAGAATGGAAACGATTGAGTCGCAAACAAAATGCAATGGTAATAGATCGCTTGTATATGTCTCTATGTTGTTGTTTTGGGCGCCGCTATTAATTATCTCGCACTTCGTAACCCATTTACTTTGTATTGCTTTCTTTTATATTTTTGTTGAACGATCATCTTTGGAGTTTTCTGGTAGTTCAAAGACCAGCTGTTTTTGTTTTGCCAGTTGATCTGCTTGGATCGTAGGAGACAACTGTACGGTTTCACTTTAAAGGGTAGGGGTGCTGTGGAAGAAGCGAGGAGGCAGAGAAATATGGTAAGCTTTGATTCGAGTATTGCTGAGCATGGCCGCTCTAAAGTTCAATCGGGAGAGCATTACTCTAGAAAGATTTATGTCGTAGATTCGATTCCTGAATGAGCACCAAGCGTTGCTTAGTAGCACGGCTGGGGAAGATGGATTCTTTTACGGAAAGGTGAGGGAGAGGGATTAGCTTTGAAAGATGTGCAAAATGGTTGGTTGAGCGGACAGACAGAAACAGAGAGAAATGCAGAGTACCAAAAAGTAATCTTGACCTTACAAAATTTTGGCACTGCAGGTCGGCAGTACCATATTCCTGACGAGGAGAGGAATTATGATTATTCGAAGTGACAAAAATGTGGTACAGAACCGGCTCGTTTTCCCTTTCATTTCGTCTAATAATTGAACTCTTCTCCTTCTCCGCATTTAGTCCTTGTGCGTTCAATTCTAAAATTGATGTGAAAGTGATAGTTTTCAGCTTCATTTCAGATGCAATTTATGGACGTTTTGGACAAATTCCGGACATTCCACCCAGATGCCAATAACATTACTATGCAGGATATAATAAATGTAAGATTTCATCGGGGAACAACTTTATCAAGCAGTTTATTTATCATTGTATGGTCAGTTATCGGTCAAAAATTGATTGTGTAATGATTGCGCAGTGATTAATTAAGATTTTCTCGGTGGCTCCTTGGCTTTCAAAAGGCATTTTCGATTTTTTTCATGCAATGACTGCTAGAAATCAAGAGCGTTTCTGTTGTTTACACACTAGCTTATTCGCAACATGCAAACAGACAGTAACGGTCGAAACCCGCTGTCAAAAACTTGTTTTTGGTGAACCGTGTGATAGAAGTCTTGTGTGAATTTGTGACCTATTTAGCCAATGAAACTTGAGGTACAAGAGCTGCAAGTTTTTCTGACGAAATAAGCATATGATTTGCTGAACATTCAAAGCGACAATTTTTATCCCATCTGCTTTGTGGAAATTTGCTTGAAAGGTAGTCAGGGAGTGTTGAGAATTAGTGGAATGAAGAGTTTGTCTTGGAGTTCGCTCCTTTCTGAGCCATACTCTCTTAATTTTTTTTTTCTTTTTTTTTGAGAGATCTTCATAGCAGTAGTGTCATTTATCTCCCATATTTCGCAGCTGAGTTGCTGCTTCACAGTGAAAGTAGTATGGCTTCAAAAGATTGGTGTTAACAAGGGATTCACAATGCACAGTCGGTATGAGTCCTGCCATTAGTCTCAGCCCTACTCTTAAGTCACGACCGACGACCTTTACATGTAAAGTGTGCTTTATGGGTGTCCTGTCAGGATATTTTCTGACCACACGACAAGACTTAAATGTCATTATGTGAGACAAAGGACGAGTGAAGCGGGGATATAAGCTGCTCCCCAAAAATACAATTCAATTTCCTGCGGGATGAAGAACCGATTGACAAAGTTACCACTAACGGGCTTTCATATTCGGCACCCGAATTTCACACCGTATACAGTTCACCAGCTGTTAGGAAACGTAGGAGCTCTCCAGACATTCTTTTCCTCTTCCAAAGCTAAACAGCTGCCGTACTCTACCCACCACTTGCCTCGTTTTCCTTTTGTGACTTTGTGATTTCAGTTCCTTCGTGAGCACCCCGACTGCTCTCCGCACGACACTTCAGAGAGGCGGCGCAACACTAACGCATTCATGCCAAAGAGCTTTGGGCGCTTACGATTCGCTGACGAACCAGATGCTGATGAAAAGAACAAAACTCCTGAAGAGATCGATGAGTTCCAACCAGTGAGCGAAGCTTCAACCTGAACTGACCCACACCAAAGATAAAGCTTTCTTCAGGCATACAAGCTTTTATTACAATTTGCTTAAAGGAAAGAGAAATGACCAAACAAGGATTACTCATAGCAACGATCACAGTTTCTTAACATTTACATCTGCTCAACAATAATAAATGATTTCATCTATGAAAACTTTTCTACAAACAAATAATACCTTCCTGCAATAAAATTGAAGTCAAATATATCATAATATACAGTAAAACAGAATTCATCTTGGATCAGTAGCGCAATAAACAATAAATAGAACAGCAGCAACACCCTCTCTTAGGAAAAAGTAACAAAGAGTACCTTTAACATAAAAAATATTAAATATTTAAGATCTGAAGACGTAAAAATCTGTCAAAGAAAGTGGGAAGTGAATGATTCAAAATGAAGTGACCAATTGTAGCGGATTAAATTCTCCTAATGTCTTCAGACCTTGTTTACCTAGTGTCCTTTAAAGACTAGAAAACAACAGTAATAAAACGTAACTAAAAAGGTTCTATGATGACGGTCAACAAATCAGGCACCGCAGCAAAAACAGGTACTCAAAACTACAATGACATATTGAATATCCTAAAAAATGGAGTGACGCGATACCGTAATGACCCGTAATTGGCGTGATTATCGATGTCAAAAAAAATTGAAATGATTTTTTAATAACACAACAAAAAGACTCGATACCTGTACAACCAAAATTTATATATGGGAACTGACCAGTGACCAACCTCTTACGAGAATGTTAAGATAAACGGCAGAATAGAAACCAAACTGCTTACGTAAAACTTCCTGGCAGTCTTCTAGCCTAAAACATTAATCATGTTTGAAAAAACTAGTTGCTTCAATTGAAAGTTGAAGGTACCTGGGAAGTTTTGTTCCGAATTTAAGGCTGGTGGTACCGGAGGTGGTCGCATGTATCCTAAACTGCTACTACCAATAGTATCAGTAGCAATATGGTTTCGAGAAACAGAAGACAACGGGTAACTGCCATCCACAAGACTGAAGTTTGAAGAATTTTTGTATTTTTCTGGAGAAATTCGGTTTTTCATGTCAGAGGAATTACTCCAGCTACTAGAATAGGAGGAAGTTGAAGGGTTGGCGGAGCGATATTCTCGACGATAATCTCGATCACCCCGATTATCGAAAGAAGACTGCTTACTGCTGCACGGAAACGATCCTCTCTCTCCATCTAAATTTCATATGAACTTAAAGTATAAGTAATCAACAACAAAACAGGTCAACACCGAAAGCTGCGGAACAATCCCGTCTTGTACAATTAAAACTAAATACCTTTCTCGTACGATAACGATGATTGCCGCTTATCTCGCTCTCTCTCCCAAGTTGATCTACTGTTCCTACTACGGTAAAAAACTTGCTGGAAACTACTTTGATAAGTCTGATCGCGGTCTCTGTAACTGGACTGAGATTGGGAATGCAGCCTTCTGTAACTTTCGTAATTATTGTTCACCAAGAACCTAAAACACATAAGGGCACTTTTAACCAATAAAAAAGCTAAGCAGATAAACTACTAGATTAAAAGATAAGCAGGAACGCAGGAAATGCTTAAAAGCATCTAGTAAAATGCCCTAACCGATTATCTCCAACCCTTTGAGGATCACGTGACGGAGACCGTGACATCGTATGAGCCGCAGAAAAAGAAGGCCTTGAAGTATAAAATGATGCATTATGCAGGTAGTCTACCCGTTTTTCGTCAAGTTTTCTATCATCACGATCGGAGCTATGAGTCACTGAGCCATGCGCTACTTCCCTCCGCTCTGAATGCAAAACATTCCTTGTATCAGTGATGACTCCAGCTTTTTCTTCGTGATGCGAATGATGCTGATGATGACGCGAATGCTTATGATGTTCGTTCTAAAACAATGACCACCAAAACTGCAACGTTTCTGGTTAAAACAACCCAAAAACAAAACAGTTTAAACTCCGTATCTCTACTTGCTAATTCTCTACAATGCCGTTCAACTGAGATGATAAGGAGATGAAAAGAACTAAACAGAGCCACAAACATTCGTTTCGTGTTCAGCACGATGACGGTCAGCATCACGATATTTCTGTAACAGGTCTGTTGGTTCCTCGCGAGTAAAACGTGACAAGAATATCCATAAGTATGAATGCCACTTCTCGAGATTAGAGGACGACTTACTAAACAATGAGAGGACAAAATTAAAAAAACAAATGCTTCTTAAAACCTTTCAAAAACAACCAATTTTCAATAAACCAAGTTTTTCAGAAAATAAAAAACCTTGCAGACAACTGTTGAAGATGTTTAACAATATGGTCTCCCAATTTCAAAACGTAACGCAAGGAATCCGAGGTACTCATCCCTTCACAACCAACCAATTTCTTTAAATACTTCTGCACTGGCCTCATTATACCTACGCACTAGAATTTAAATTTTTTGTTAATCGCTGACAAAACAACGAGGTGATGTAATTTAAGTTGCTGCAGATAATCATTGTAATGATAGTAATGAAAAAAAACCAATAAGACCTGAACTAATAGCAATTTTGAAAAATCAAAACTGAAACACACATCTTTAAAAGGTTCTGAAGATTCGTCTTGCATTTCCTTGCCATATTTTGATTTATTTATAATCAACCGCTCCATATTTACAACTTTTTTAACCTTATTAACCTGTAAAAATTCAACGTAATTCGTGCAGTAACAGTAATGTGATAACCATATTTTCAAAAAAAAAAAAAAGAAAACCTTTGTGCTCTCCCTTTTAGCAGTATCAATTACCTGCCCGCTTTCTTGAAACTCCTTCTTCCTCTTCTTCTCCCTTTCCTTCTGTTTTATCGTTTTTGATTTTGAAGTCTCCTGAAAGACGTACACGATAGCAATACAACTTCAACTTCGTTACTGTTAAATAAAAAATTTTTTCAATTAGAGAGCCAATAAAGCCTCAAAGCAACTGACAATTAATGATGCAGTCTGACTTCCAACCCTAGATTTCTTATCCATTCTTTCCTTGGTGGCTGTTGCATATCGAGCTAGATGTTTGAGCAAAACGTCAGTGCGAGATTGAAGATGCTTGCCTTGAGGTTTCTTATTTTTGTCTTTAAGCCAAATCTAAAAACGAAAGAATCAAATGACCACCCAGATTTTTTTCAATAGATCAAAAATCTAGTATAACAACATAGTGGTAAAAGAATGTGTCACAACGTAATCAAAAAGACAACAGAAAAAATTAAATTTATTTTCTAATTTTGATATAGTGAAAAACAAGTGCCGTGGAAAGTGCTGTAGGATTATAGAAAACAACAAAATTTTCACTCAAAAAAAAAAAAAAAAAAAAAAAAAAAAAAAA